TTTTAATTGAATTGGTGCATTTTAAGTGTATTTATTTATTTAGTGGTTTATTTATATATTTCTGCTTTTTTTATAATTATGTCAGTTTTGGTCCTCCATACTGCAGAACTTAGAAGGAAAATCAATGTCTGAATCAGGTGTGTTGGAGCAGGAAAAACATAAAACATGTAGGGCTGCGGTCCTCGAGGACCAGGATTGCCCACCCCTGACTTAGAGGAAGTCTAAGGAACTTTTCTAAGGAAAATATTGCTTACCATTATATTAATATAACTGGAATGTGATTTTTATGTCATAAATATATCATCCCATGTAATAAATATATCATTCTATTTAACTTGATGCTCAGTTTCAAATGGCAAAAACGGGATTATTGAGTTTAATTAAAGCCCTCAATGAAGCTGTTGTTTCCGTTTTTCTGAAAGGGTACGTGAAGTGCTCAACTTTGGCGCCCAGAGGAGAACCAATGGAAAGTACCACACTGTGCGGGGGGTGACAAGGTGATTCTTGTTCATTTTTTATATTTTAAATCTCAACTTCAATTATTTCAACGTGCTATACAAGAAGTTTTATACACAAATATACTAATGTTTGTCTAATCGCTAAAACATTTAGAAATTGTATGATCATAACTCTGTTTATACGTAATGGTACAACCCATTCCATCCCGCCCCCCGCCGCCATTTTCCATGTTGTTCTGTTTTCGCAGGCAATACCTTGTTAATTTTGAATGCTACAGTAAAATTTCTGTTATTTAATTTCGAGCTTCTCCACTTTAGTGCAGGGGGATTCTGTCTCCGGATTCTGCCTAGGAGACGCGCTTTGTTTTGGCAGCCATGTACATCAAACAGGTAAGCACCGGTCACCGGGGCTAAGAGCGCTTGTTCATTTACCGACTATCACCATCAGGCTAGCTGAACGGTATGAATGATAGCTTCACACACGACATGTGAAAAAAGGTTTACAACGATAAGTGCAATGCAAAGCCAGACGAACATACTGGATAAAAATCTGCACAACTCGTTCAGCTAAGCTTGTTGATTTTAACTCGCGCGTTGTTTGCTTTTATCGTGAGCTCTCTGCATCTCAAGATGCTAAGCTAACGCTAGCATGCTAACGGTGAGCACTGCTGTTCGCTCATCTTAAAAGAAATAAATGTTATGCGTGTAAGTGTACACGCCTGTTTTGCGAAATGTGGGCTTTGCTATTTTGTCGCAGTACTCAAACTACAGTTATACTGTATCTAGTTGGACCCAGTAAAAAGGTAAACGCTAGCCCTGTAGACACCGTTAGCTAAGGCCCGCACTCACTAAAAACACACTGTCAAATCACAAACTGGTCATTTATTTTCAGTCTAATCATGCAATCAAAAACCTTGGCTTTTAAACGCGCTTTCCTGCAGACTCTTTTTCCTTTTATAAATGTTGATTGTTATCTATAATGATGCTAATGTTTGTGTTTTTATCAGGTCATTATTCAGGGATTCCGAAGTTACAGGGATCAAACTGTTGTGGACCCTTTTAGTCCCAAGCACAATGTGATTGGTAAGTTTGTGTTCAACATGAAGCTGTTTGTATATTCCCACGGACGTAGAAGACCCAAAATATGTGATGTCATCGTATTGTTTTTTTGTGTTTTGTTGTGTTTCAGTTGGCAGAAATGGATCAGGAAAAAGTAACTTTTTCTACGGTGTGTATGGCTTCTTTAATTTAGCCAAGTTGTAGCTAAACAGCTTGTGTGCTGGGTTTTAAATTTTTTCTTTTCCTCCTCCCAGCCATCCAGTTTGTCCTCAGCGATGAATTCAGCCACCTACGACCAGAACAGCGTCTGGCTCTTCTTCATGTGAGCACTAACAAATATAAAAATATTGGCATATCAAAGCTAGTTGTAAACATTCAATTACTGGATTTAATGCGATTGTATCTACTGTCATTGTAGGAAGGAACTGGGCCACGTGTCATTTCAGCTTTTGTGGAGATCATATTTGACAACTCCGACAATCGACTACCGGTATAACTAGTAAACATTTTGTAGTCACTGTGCCTGAGAATTTGAATATTGTTTATACACAACAAATAATGACCTTGGTCATATTTTACAGAATGTTTGATATTCTTGTTTTGGATGGTTTCTTATGGAAAAAAAGAAGCCCACAGTGTTTATAGCAGATTTCAATGACAAACATTGTTTAAAAAAAACAAAAATTTGAAGCGTTTTGGCCTCCCTCAGTGCATTTGTTCTAACACTTGATTTTGCTGTTTTGGAGCCTCTTGAAAAATACAGTCTACCAGTATACAAATTGTTTCTTGTTGTTAAAGGGGAGTTATTATGTATTTTTCAGGCACGTAGTTTAATTTTACACCACAAAGAAGTACCGGTAACTATGGCTACGTTCACACTGCAGGCAAATCCAATTTTTTTTGACCCATCTTACTCATATCCGATTTTTTTTACGACAGTCTGAACAAGACAAATCCGATTTTTTCAAATCCGACCCAGGCCGTTTCAGTATGTGGTTTTAAATCRKATABRKATCTGATGTTTTCAAAGTGACTGCAGTGTGAACGCTCATGTCACATTCATCTGACTTTTTCATCAGTGAGGAGGGGGTGAAGGATCGATAAGACACTAACC